AGGATAAGAGTGAAATCAGAAACTGGTCACTTCTTGGGGAGAGACTTCAGAGATTATTACTGACAGACTACATACAATTTGCTAGGGTACAAGAAACATTTTGATGTAGGTGGTGATGACATGAGTATAATTTTTAAAATGTTGAGAAATCCACTTATGATTTGTATAGCTTTTTATATGTACATTATACTTTGATTTTAAAAAAATCCACCAAGTGCAGTGGCATATGCCTGTAATTCCAGCAACTCAGGAGGCTGAGGCAGGAGGATCACAATTACAGGTTAGCCTGGACAACTTAGGGAGACCCTGTCTCAAAATTATGAAAAATAAAAAGGACTGGGGATGTAGCTCAGTGATAAAGTGCCCCAGATTCAATAGCCAATACCAAAAACAAAGCAAAACCATAGGACCAAGATGCTAAGATTACTGTCTTGGAAGATTTTCATCTTTTGCAGTCTGTCTATATCTATTACTTGAATATCTTACAACAATCGTTATGTGCATTTTTTCTTCCTCTTTTTTTTTTATTGGCATCAAAGATTGAACCCAGGAGTGCTTTACCACTGAGCCACATCCCCTGTCCTTTTTGTTTTGAGATGGGGTTTTGCTAAGTTGCATAGGATCTCGCTAAATTTCTGAGACTGACCTCGAACTTTGCGATCCTCCTGCCTCAGCCTCCAGAATCACTGGGATTACAGGTGTGCACAATGGCACTCAGCTATTTCTTTTAGACTCTAAAAATAATAATAATAATAATAATAATAATAATAATAATAGAGTAATTGTTTTGGAAAAATAGTCAAGCCATAAAAAAACAGGATCATAATGACTTCAAAATCAAGATATAATTTCTCTCTGCCAGCCTCTTTTCTCAATTGGGGGTAGGTATATAATATCAATATCATGTTTTCCATACATTCTAAAAATGTTCCCAACCTCAATGAAATCAATGGTTTTCACTCGGTGGTTAAAAGGTGTAAGTAACATGGAGACCTAATCCTCCTGCCTCATTAGGAAAATATCCAGCCCAAAGAGGTCATAAACCAGAGCAGTGTCCAGCCCGGGAGGGAAGTGAATGAGAGAGAGGATGAAGGAAGCCCTGTCTCAGATTCCTGCCGCTCTGGCCTAGAAGTTGAAGGGCTCCGTTGAGGTGTGTTGCTGTGTACGTGCCAGGCTCTGTTTATTTCATGTTCTGAATGATTCCTTTTTAACCTACCAAGTATTTATAGCCCATAGAAACTCAGAGATGAAAGTTTTTTTTTCCAACGTGCAAAAGCCACAAATGACAAAATCTTGTTAGAGTGGCCAAAGCCAGGAGGCCTCTCAAGCCCGTGTATGTGTCTGTCCGTCTGAAGCCCCGTTCATTACAACGGAGCTTTTCTGGGCTGGTCCTCAGAGGAGAATGGGTGACCCTAGGAAACCACTGCCACCACTGTGTTGTGAGCTGAAGGAGAGCCATTGAACACAAACAAAAAGAATGCTTCAAGGACGCATTGCAACACAATCAGAACCATGCCACAGGCTCTGATGGCTAGAGGGGACAGCAGGAGTGACACAATTAGGGACAGGAGTGGTTCAATTTAGGGGGAAAAAACCAACAGAAGTATGCGGTCTGCCGGACAAAGAGGCCGAGTTCTAAAGCACCCCCAGAAAGCAGCTTCCACAAAGCGCTGACCATGTGCACGGAGCAGGCTCTGCAGATGGCTCTTTAAGCCCCACTCAGAGCTGGCACTCTAAAAAGAGTTCGGGGGCAGCAGGCTTGCAGGCAAGGGAGAGTGGAGCTGCGTGAGAATGTGCGTGTGCCCTCACGTACCAGAGACAGTGCGGGCCAAACAAAGCCCTACCTGGCAGGACTGGTGAGTCTCCAGCCTGCTTCTGCTCTCTTCCTCCTCTTCCCTGTCCTGTCCACCCCCACCCCCCCCAGCACTCCCCACTTTATGCATTTTGAAGTGATAAGCCAGTTTAGAATGCCCACATCTCATTTATTCAGCCATTTTGGTCACCAAGCTCACTCAACCCGTCAGTGAACACTTCTCCTGTAGACAACGGTCCTCAGAAAAGAAGAGCTTGTGGTGTTCTGGAAAAAGCTGCACCATAGCTACCAGGAATACTAAGGGGGTACATTATACCCGCCCCCCCACTCCACCCCACCCCCTGTGACAATGACTAATATCAAGAAGAACTAGGGAAGCTATAGATGAGCAGGATACTTGGAATAAAATGCCATGTTTTAACCAAATTGTTCTCCTGGAATTCCAAGCCTACATTAGTCCTTTATCCAGATGCTCACAACCTACCTCCCCAAAATGAATTTCCACCAGCCTTCAGTGTGCTCCTGAGTGGGGGGAGATGAGAGGACTCTTGAGTGCTTCATTGTACCACACTGCTACTGAGCAGGCAGAAGGAGAGCTGTGGGCGGCGGAGAGCTAACTACAGACTCCAAACATTGATGTTTACCTTTTCTTGCAGTTCGTGGGGGAACGTTTTCCTTCTTCAAATATGAGCACAGTTTGCAATAACATGAGTGAGAGGAATGTACTCGCGTCTTGTGGAAAAGATAAACACTGTAAATCCTGTCTGCTTTCTTGCAGAAAAAGGCTCTCTGGAATAGCAGGCGTAAGAGCAAAAAAAAAAAAAAAAAGTCTCAGAAGGAAAAAAAAAAATGCAGACTTCAAATTTACCATTGCTTATTCAGACATGCAAAAAAAAAAAAAAAGAGTGGGATATTGGATTGGGGGCCTCTGAGCATGGCTGTGCAGTTTGTGTTCTGAACAAACCTAGGGAGCAATTCTCAGAGAGGCCGTGATGGGCAATCTAATCTCTATAGCAATACGAGGATGTATTGCTCGATTCTACCAAAGTAAAGGAATGTGTACTGAGAGATGTTGTTATCCTGAATCCATGTCAGTGCTTGCTCTTCTGTCCTCTTCTGCATGGAAACCCAGGTAAAATGACAGTGTCAGGCCTGCACATGCCTGTCCCTTTGTCTATCCTTTGCCCCCAAAGCCTATCTCCCACACAATAAGGATGTGTCTTCATACTGCCATGAAAGCCATAGCTCACCATCCTGCCTCGCGGTAACAATAATGAGTGTTTCCATGCATTAAATTTCTACCACGAGCCAGGGCCTGCTGTGCTGAGGGCCTGTGAAGTCTGTGTAATTTAAAGAGGTATGTGGCCCAAAAGCAAACTCAGGTCTCCCTAAGCCTGGAAGCCATACTCCTTCTCCAGTGACCATGGGGCACTGTGTCCCTCTACTCTCTCTGTCCTTCTCTCAGTTCCCAGGGGCTCAGAATTTCTGCTACTTTCACCTCGAGCATGATTTACCATGCAAACTCCTTCTTGTCCTAATGAGTTATTAGCTCAGTATTGCTTCCTCAAAATAGGCCAGCCCCCTGTCTCCAGTTCCCTTCTTCCTCACGGCACCGTGTGCTGTTGTGTACATGCTCCTTCCTGTCCAGAGTCTGCCCTGCTGTGCTTCAAGCCTTTCGAGGGCAGGGCTGTGCCTGTCACATGGACCACTGGGTGCCTAGTGCCTGGCACACAGTCAGGCGTATCAACATCTGATAGAGTGAGTAAATGGATGGTCAAGGAGGGGCTAAGAGAGGCAGATACTGAAGCAACACACTGTGGTTTCAGTTGAGTCCTCTTCAGATTGCTACTAGCCTAGTGGGATCCTAACTGTGAAGAAAATCCATTCATTCCCTCCTTCAGAAACCATTTTCTGAGTGCCTAGGAGGGGGCAAACACTTCAGTCAGCCTCCCTGTGCACTAGCCTCTCCAGGATAGCCCTTAGCTGGCTACCTCCTCACCTCCCTCTTCAAAGAGATTTTCTAGACTTTCCCTGGATGAGGAAATCCTGGCCCTCTATCCCACGGGGCAGCCATCTTCCCTAGATCCTCCTGCAAAAAACGCAGGCTGCTTACTGCCTTTTAATGTTACTGTGACTCTGTCCCACCACTAAGTACAATATTACTCGTTCGTTTCATGTACAATGATCATATTATAGTGATATAATACACTGTGACAATCTTGATACTCTCGTCTGACAAGCCAACAAACCTGACAATCTCATTTTAAGGCATCTGCAATTTAAAGGAAAAAAAATGTACACTCTAATGTCATTGCGCCCTCCCTACTAGAGGAGGGGTTGGACCCACTTGGAGTACGACATTCTGAGATGCTGTCAGAATTTTTAAAGTTAAACAAAAACCCTCTTGGTATTACAAGTGAGAAGACAATAGCAGCCACTACCTGAATAGATAGCTGTCACTCCAGAAGACAGCCTGCGGGCTATTCAGAGATGTTGCTTCTAAGGGGAGAGATGCTGGGCCTTCAGAGGGTGTTTCCACTGGGTACCAGATTCCAGCTGCCGATGGGGTAGGGTCCTCCCCTGGCATGGTTGGCCCCTCATTGCACAGATTCCTCTGTGTCTAGGGAACAAAGGCTGCAGGGGAGGAACTGAGGTAGCCCAGTTATGTTGTAAGGCTAGATTAATCCAGAAAACTGGTGTCACAAAGCTCTGTCCGACCATGCCTCCCCAAGACTCAATGCTTCCGTTTAACTCCATGTATTTTTTAAAACCATGCCTGCCCTTTTCTGCCTTTTGTACATATAAACTCCTAATCAAAATTAATTGCTTGCATTCTTGGAAAAAAAAAGAAAAAAAAAATTACTCAGCTCCATGTTATAAATAGAAGAGCAAACATTCTAGCCAGTTCTGATCCCTGCGAGGAGGAAGAACCCCCAGGTGCTTGTAAAACCATCCTGTGCGCTGGCATCAGAGCAGGCGCCATGCTCCGCAGCTGGTCTCGACAGAGCCAAGCGGAACCTGCACCTCAGCGGTCAGAGTCAAGGCCTCGCACTTGCAGGGACCGCGCGGCGCGTGTCTGGAATCATTTCCCGGCCTTAATCAGCAGCTCTGCCCTTTCCCAGGCAGCAGCCGAGTGCCCCTCCGTGACCCCAGCACGCAGCAACACCGACTCTGAGAAGATGCTCACCTTTGGGGAAAAGAACGCTCTAATCTTGATCCTGTTCCCACGGCTGCAAGAATGCCCCCCGGTTGTGTGTCCTCAGTCTTTTTTCTTGTTTGCTTTTGTGGTCTGGGTACACTGATCCTTTCCTGCCTGGGTGAGAGAGCAGCGCGGCCCGCGGGGCTCCCTCCCTCGCCTCCTCATCTGGGTAGCAGGCTTTTTTCAACCCCCAGTCCTTCTTCACAGGTAGGAAGCACATCACAACTCATTAGTAATTTACTGCTACAGTAATTTTTATAATTACTGCCAGGAGGCCTCATTAAATTTGATCTAATGAATAAATATTGTATTTTTCAACGTGATTACCAGAACAGCTTAAGCTGAGTGCCATAAACAATTATTTTCCTCACTACTCAGGATGTTGGTGACTATTGATTTTTATTTCATAAAGAATTTACTGTAGTAATACCAATATAAATGACTTCAGGAATAGGCAGCGGCAGCCCCCGTGTCAATTTGCAAAGCAACATCTATCCCCAGAAACAGCAAAAGGGCACGGCTGGGAGGCAGAAGCAAAGAAAAAAATCTGTCCAGAAGAGAGGTATGTGGAGTGTGTGTGGCCAAGGACAGGGCTACCTGAGCACACCCTGGGGCACAGACTTCAGATCGTGGGCTTGAGATTTTTTGACGGGTTGGGTAGCATGCTCCGGGGCTGAACAATAAAACCGGCAGTCGATTTTTCTCATTTTACAAGAGTCAATAAATTCTGCTCAGTTAGAAATTTCCAAAGTAAAACATGAAAACAGGCCCTAATAGGAGACTCCCACCAAACCTTATTCAGCTGTTTTTCTTCACCTTTCAGTCACTGTCTTGTGCTCTCCTAATTCCTCCCTGCCCTTTTTCTGTGTCAATGGAATTTCACATTTTAACTAGTGGGATGGATATTTCTTTCTCTCTTTTGGTTTTTATTCCATCTAATACCCCATCCTTTTTATATCATAAGCCATGGAGAAATGTGTTGGGAATCTCCTGATTTTGATTTCTCTTTCTCTAATCCAAGAAGCACTTTGCTACCACAGGTGACATTTATTTCTGTGGCTTACCACTCCAACCTCTCTCCCCTCAAAGAACAATGGGCCTCAACACTGGTGCCATATTAGAATCATCAAGAAACTTGTAAAACATGCTGATACCCCAGGCCCTTCCCCAGAGACCCTGATTTAATTGGCCTGCAGGTCAGGATATCACTACTGTTTTTGGAACTCATCACAGTTCCAAATAGGCCACATCCCCTATGTCAATTTGCAAAGCAACATCTACCCCAGAAACAGCAAAAGGGCATGGCTGGGAGGCAGAAGGAAAGAAAAATCTGACCAGAAGAGAAGTGCAGCCAGGGTCCTCTGCCCTAAAGGGATAAGTAGGACAGGAAACAGAGTTCCAGCCCACAGACAGCCAGAGTGCCTGGGAGTCGCTGTGATGAGATCACTTGGTCCCTCTCAAAACTTGAATGTTGAAGTCCTAACCCTTTCTACCTGAGAAAATGGCCCAATTGGGAGAAATGGCCTCTTTAAAGAGGTGATTAAAGTAAAATGAGGTCATATGGGTGGGCTCTCCTCCAATAGGACTGGTATCTCTATAAGAGAGGAGATTAGGACACAGACAGGCACCCAAGGAAGACAGGGAAGAGAGGACAGTCATTTACAAGCCCAAGAGAGGCCTCAGAAGAAGCTCACCCTGAGACTATTTTTTTTCCCCCAGCACTGGGGATGGAACCCAGGGCCTACATGCATGCTAGGCAAGTGCTCTGCCACTCAACTACGTCCTCCACCCTTTTTTTCTTTTGAAACAGCATCTTGATTATTTGCTAAGGATAGCCTCAAATTTACAATCCTTCTGCCTCAGCCTTCCCAGTAGCTGAGATTACGAGTGTGCACCACCTAACCCGGCTACTGCTAGCATCTTGATCTCAGACTTGTAGCTTGTAGAAATGTGAGAAACTATACTTCTGTGGTTTAAGCCACCAAGTTTGTGGCACTTTGTTTTATTTTTAAAAGTTATTTTTTGACATATATGTATGGGGTACAACGTGCTGAATTCGATACATGTATCTATTCCACCATGATCAAATCTGGGTAATTAGCATACCTATCATGTGGTACTTTGTTCTAGGAAATTATCACAGGAGTCTTCACAGACTGCCAGTGGAGCCTAATGGAGTCATCTAAGCCTCAGCCTCTCAAGGCTGTTCGCTTGTATTTAAAAAAAAAAAAAAAAAAAAACGTTCAGGGCAAAAAACTAATTTGTAAAAGCAGCTGCAAAACAGCATATCCAATACAATCCAAGTTTTGTTAAGAAAAAATTTGTACATAACCAACCAAAGTCAGAAAAATTTAAATGCTAAATGCTAAGTGTTAAAAAATGTTAATCTCATTTCAGGGATGAGATTAAAATTACCTTTATTTTGTCTTTTGTGCTTTCAGCATTTCCCACATTTTCTACACTACACATGGTTTAACTTTGTGATCAGGAAAACAAAAATAACACAACTACAAAAATTTAGTTTTAGGTTTCTTTTTTCCTATGAGGAAATGAATGGTAGAATTTCTGTTGTGGTAGAGGAGGAGCGGATCTTTGAGGTCATTGGTTCTCCTCATCAAGTGACTCCAGTAGGATCACCATATCTGATCGTGTTTACTTCCCTGGTTTTTGGAAATCTTTATGTCTTCCACATTTTCAAGATGCTTATACTAGACCCTCAGTTCTCAAGCACAAGATGTTATTTGTGCCCACCTGCAGTCGGACCATTAACGAGATATTCCTAGAGAATCAAAGTTTAAGAAAAATTTGTGAAGAGGGGAATATAAATATGAATATGTCTCCCTTCACTCCAAGATGAAGGACCACAAAGGGTGGGGAACTACTCTACCCAGCAGGATAGTGAAGAAGCCAACGTCCCACTGTTAATGTGGGACAATGATAAAAGTGTGAGTGGGAAAATATTAAAAGCATGTATATGAATCAGGCAACCAACACTTCTGCCTTCACCCTACAGATGGAATGATAGGCAGCTAGGAAATGTGGGGAAATGTGGGCTACAAATGATGGCTTATTTACCTGTCCTAGGAAAAAACAACAGTGTAGCTAAGTGTAGGAGTGCTTCAATGTCTTCGGAAAAGGATGAAGAGATTCCAAGTAACAGGTAGAGTGACAAAGAATGAAGGAGAAGGTGAAAGAGATTAAATGCATGATAAAGAAGGCATATATTTCAATTTCCTTTCAAGAAAAAAGAAAGGTAATCTGAAAATCTGAGAGAAATGTCACAATTTCTATAAGAAAGTTAAGAGAAAAACAAAATTTGGGTTTTGAGGGTGCAGGTGAATGGTAGAGCACTTAGCTGGCATGTGTAAGACACTGAGTTCAGTACCCTGGTGCCAAAAAAAAAAAAAAGTAGTATTATTTTGAGATTGTAATAGAGAATCCCATTGATGGTGACACTGGGAACATTTTCATTTGAGAGACCAAAGGCTGTGATCAGGAAGGGAAGGATGTAATTATGAACGTCACTCAAACTCGAATAAAGGAACCTACATTGTTTTTATTAATGTAAATGCTATTTACTTCCTCTTGTTCTTTAGAACTATCTTAGAGATCAGGCTCCAAAGACTATATTAATAGGATAAAATATAAACATTATCACCCTTAATCACAGAAAAAATAAAGAGGTGCCAGAGGTTGTTGCAGAAGTGGAGAAGAGAGGTCAGGAGATCAGTGGATAGTTTCTCAAGTTGAGAAATCAAGAAATATTGGAAAGAAATATTATTTAAGATATCGAGATTACTCCTTGAAAGATAAAATCTGAAGTTAAAAGTGGTTGCCAGGGGCTGGAGATGTAGCTCAGGGGTAGAGCACTTGTCTGGTGTGCCTGAAGTTCTGGGTTGGATCCCCCACACTACAATTTAAATAAATAAAAAATGCTCTCCCAAAGGATAGTAGGATTGGGGTTCTAGAGAAACAAGTAAAGGAGTAGATTCTTTTCATGATAAATCCTTCAGAACCATTTGATTTTTTTTCTTTTTTTCCACATTTTTAAAAATTGGTACATTATAGTTTTTTTTTAATTTTAGTTATAGTTGGACACAATACCTTTATTTCACTTATTTATTTTTATGTGATGCTGAGGATAGAACCCAGGTCCCACACATGCAAGGCAATCGCTCTACTGCTAAGCCAGAACCCCAGACCCAGTGCATTATAGTTTTACAAAATTGGGCTGGGGATGTGGCTCAAGCAGTAGTGCGTTCACCTGGCATGTGTGCGGCCCGGGTTCGATCCTCAGCACCACATACAAACAATAGATGTTGTATCTGCCAAGAAAACTAAAAAATAAATGTTAAAAATTCTCTCTCTCTCTCTCTCTCTCTCTCACCTCTCTCTAAAAAAAAAAATGATGGGATTTCCTGTTACTATTCATACATGCACACTATTTGATTGTTTTAACCAAATATGTGCACTTCTTTAATTTAATTAAAAAGAAAACTTTAAAAATGATCCATGAAGGGCTGGGGATATAGCTCAGTTGGTAGAGAGCTTGCCTTGTATGCACAAGGCCCTGGGTTCAATCCCCAGTACTACCAAAAAAAAAAAAAAGAAGAAAGAAAGTGGCTGTACAAAGAAATTTAAATAAATTACTATTGCTTCTTATTTTATAGTGTATTTAAATTGATTTTCCTAATAGTGAGTCATTATTACATAACTTAAATGTTAAAAAAATGGGAGGGATGATAAAATTATACTGAATATAATCTTAAAAATAATAATAATACTTATGTTTAATACCCACAAGTAACGAAATTCTTAACTGTGTTGATTTGTGAATAGCAGGATTATGGGTGATTTTAATTATTAAATTCCAATTTTCTATAAGAAGTAACTAAAAGATATTTTACAAACTTTAAAATATACTGAACAAAAATAAAATAATGATAAATTTAAAAACATAATGAAAATAAGCTTATTTCCTATATTGCTCTTTTTCCTCTTCCTCAACATTTCAGTCAGCATGGTCAAATGGAATTTTATCTGTGGTTAATTTCTTGTCAGTGTTGTAGTGCCTGCATCACTCTGGGTAAGACTAAGTAGGGCAGTAATAATCTTCAGCATTTACAAAGACAGAGGGTCACTGAGTGGCAGAAAAACCCAA